AGAGCACAACTCTTCCCTAATGCTGAGGCCATACGGGAAGGTCCAGGGTTCATGTCCTGAGAGCTCCCTGCACATATTTGGTGTATGCATATGTCCATGACCCAGGCTAGCTGGGGATGATGGATCATGGCGAGCAGAGCCCATTGGGGGTGCCTCTCTTTCTCTTCCACTCTTGTAGGAGAAAAAAAGGGGTGTGTGTGAGACAATGATACAGCAAGAATGCAATGCTAAGCAAGCTGACTCACATGCAAAGGTTCTAGATTTGTTTCCAGATCCCTCTGAACACACTGGGCATGTGTGTGCCCATGTTCTGTGACTGAAGCTGGGCCTAAAGATCCTGTTGGGGGTATCTGCCTGTACATGTCTCGCTCTGGCTCTCTCATCATGGAATAAATGAATACACTTTTAAAAAAATTCCAATAATTGGGCCAGCAGGTGGCATGGTGGTTAAGGTGCTGAATCCCATAAAACTGACTATGTGGTTTGGTCCCAGACCTGACAGCTTGAAAACACTCTGGGTGCATGAACATGCATGCCCAAAATCCTAAGAGGAGAATGGAAGAGAAGGAATTGTGGTATGGCCATTGCCCTCGAGAATGATTTCTCACTTTCTCTTTCTCTCTCATCTCTCTCTGATGAGCACATGTGCTCTATAGCAAAAATAAATTAAATAAATAAATAAATATATATTTTTTAAAAAGATACAGATGCAAACATTTTAGAGTTCCCTACCTTTGAAATAGCCAAGCCTCTGGTCAGTTCCCCACAGTAAAGCCCGCCGGGTATCAAGCTCCGTTCACAAACACAGAGCTTACAGTAAACTTTTTAGGGCTTTGCTATTAACTATACCTGGGAAGCCACATAAGGAAAGTATCTATCATAAAACACATAGAACTAACGATGCTAACAGAATATAGCAATGTTGAGTAAGAAAACAATAAAGGGAGAACAATAATTTCTTTTTTAGGGGAGGAGAGGGCACGTGTGCTCTGCTGGGAAGACAGAGAAAGATGGAGAGAATGAAAGTAAGGATCATCCCCTAGGGGGATGGCCGTGCCACAATCCATTTTAATTCATTCTTCTCTTGGGATTTTGGGCACACATGCACATGTATCCAGTGCTGAATTTCAAGCTTCCAGGTTTGGGACTCAAACCGTGGTTGGCCATATGGGAATCCTTCACCTTAACCACTACACCAAGAGCAATTTTTAAAATCTGGCCCCAAGAGCAATTTTAAAAATCTATCAGAGAGGAGGAAAAATATTAACAATATAATGAATGGTAAATTCAAAAATTCAGAAAGGTAGAAAGATTATTTGAAGAGGGTAGAAGGAAACTAAAAGATGAGAGACTGAAAAAAGGAGAGAAAAAAAAGGAAAGAAAATTTCAATACAGAAAATTTAACATCCTATCATAGTGCCCCAGAGATAGAAATCAGAGAAAAATAAATAATTTTTTCAACAAAATGTGAGAAAATTTCTTCGTTCTAAAGGACATGAGCTTTCAGAATGAATGGGATCACCAAGTGTCTAGCACAACAGATGAAAATGGACCTACAGTAAGTCACATCATTGTTCAATTTCAGGATACCAGAAGAGACAAAGGATTTTAAAAAATAGAAATAATAAAATAAGAGGGATCAGGATGGTCAAGATCTCTCATTGTAATAGGAGAACGAGAAGTCAGTAGAGCAATGTCTTTAAAATTCTGAAGGTACAGTCATTTTCACCTAGAATTCCATACTCAGAGCTCTAGTCCTTGGGCCATTCATCTCCCTCAGGCCTTCGGGAAGGGAGGGGGTCCCAATGCAACTCCTAGGCTCCAGGCAGCAGTTTGAAAAGTATAATTATCATACAAAGGAAGGAAAGAAAAACTTTTTCTGAGATGGGGCTATGAAGGATTTTCCTTTTGCTTTAGTACAATATACATATTCATTCCTTTTCTATGATTTGCAGCAGTATAAGTACTAGTGAGCTGTTCTTTGAACATGCTTATATAATCATCTAAATCTGATATATTTATAGGGAGTATAAGTGGAGATGGCAGACAGAGTTTTATTAATCTTTTCCATTTATTATTCTATATCTGGATTGCTTATTGCTTAAGTCAACTTGCATCATTTACATTTTTCTAGAAAATTTTCTATTTTCAGAATTGTCACATTTATTAAATGTTTAAAATTATTTTGTTCTTTCAAAGATTTCTTTAAAGTTTTATTTTTAGATTTTCCTTTAATGATATTTCCTAATTAATTATTTCTTTTGCAGTTTTGGCTTTTTTTTTTTTTTTTTTTGTGTATTAGGGTGCATTCGCTCACCAGACAGACAGAGAGAGACATAGAGACAGAAAGCGAGAAATCACCCCCCAGGCAATCCCTTCTCCTCCATTCTCCTCTCGGGATCTTGGGCACGCAAGCACACGCGCCCGGCGTGAGTGTGAAGCCACTGGGTCCGGGATGCGAACCACGGTCGACTACGTGGGAGTCCAGCGACATAGCCATTATGTTAACTGCTGGTTCCCGCAGTTTGGCTTTTTTAAATTGTTATTCTTTTTCCTGCTTCTTGAACTGAAAATAAAGCTCATTATTGTCTAAATTTTCTAAATTTCTTATTTACAATAAAAGCTATGAATTTACCCCTGAGTGTGGTCTTGGCCACATCTGTAGGTATTTATTGTTTAGTATTCGCATTGTCATTAACTGCTAAATAATATCCAATTTTTTTTTAATGAGAGATTTTTACTACAGGGCACATGAGCTTGTCAGAGAGACAGAGACAGAGAGAGAAAAAAAAGGAGGAATCACCTTCCAGGAGGGATGGCTACTCCTCAGTCACTTCTTCTGGGATTTTGGGCATGCATGCACACGCGTCTGGCATGAGTTTCAAGCCACTGGGTCTAGGACTTGGACTGCAGTTGGTCATGTGGGAGTCCAGCACCTTAACTATATACCATCCACTGACCCTGGTATCCAATTTTTTTATCCTCTTTGACCCAACTGTTATTTCAAATAGATGAATATTTCTAAAACCTTCAATTAATTATTAAGTCCTAGTTTATTTCACTGAAATGAAATCTATAGTATTTTGACTTATTCTATTTTGAAATTTGCTCTGTGACCTATTACAGTACTTTATTATTATTATTTTTTTAAAGATTCTTGCTATAGGGTGTGTGGGCTTGCTGAAGAGACACAGAGAAGGAAAGTGAGAAATCGCCTTCCGGGGGAGATGGCCCCACCATAATCCCTTCTCCTCCATTTTCCTCTTTGGATTTTGGGCATGCACACACACTTGGTGTGATTTTTCAAACCACCAGCTGTGGGACTTGAACCACAGTCGGTCATGTGGGAATCCAGTGCCTTAAGCACCATGCCAGCTGCTGGCCTCACAAGATACATTTTTACAAATCTTCCATGGCATTTGAAAAGAATGCCTTTTGCTGTTGGTCCAGGGTATGCCCCTGCTCCAGCTCTTCTTGCAGGGCTTTCCTATTCTTTCTGGGTCCGTTTATTATCTATACTGAATTGACTACTAATATCAATGATTATTTCCTTTCTATTACAGAAATTCCCAAATTTTCTGGTTCACATCAACTCTCTCTGCCATTATAGGGACATTTTCCTTCTTAATTTTATACTTATCATTTCAGTGGAAGTTTCTGAGAGGAAAGGTTAAAATATAGACTCGAGGCATACCACAGTATATAAAGACCCAGTTTCAACAATCAGAAAGACCAGTGTTTGAATTCTGATTTTAACACTTCTTTGTTATAGGATCTTGAATATGTTCTCGGGGCTTCTGTTTCTTTAGATAAATTGTGAATAATTATGATAGTTACTACCTAAGTTTCCTAAGAAGAGTAAATAGCTGGGACAGTTTAGGTTGTCACAGCTGGAGGAGGTGTGCTGCCATTTTAGCCACAAATTCCTTATTTTATTCTCTGAAAAATGAATACAGAAGTGTAAAAAGTAGAAGTGTAATTCTATTTTAGTAAATCAACCCTAATAAAGAAACTTTTATGTGGACAATTCTTTTAAAATATATTATTTATAATAATATAAATAAGAAACAATCTAAATGTACAACAGTGAGGGGATAACTAAGTATACTACATAACAAATGGAATAATAAGTGGTCAACAAAAAGATTTTTACAGATGAAAATGGAAAAGATGCTTATGTTACAGGTGATTTTAACTATGGAAAAAAATACATTTTATAGTGACTAGAAAGAGACCTTGGGACCAGCAGATGGCCTATGGTTACGTTGCTAGATCCCATATGGTTGACTGCAGTATGCACCCTAGACCTGGCAGTTTGCAACTCATGTTGGGCGTGTATGCATGGATGCCCAAAATCCCAAGAAGAGAACGGGGGAGAAGGAAGTGTGGCATGGTCATCCCCCTGGGGGTGATTTCTCACTTTCTGTCTCTCTAGCGAGTAGATATTTCCTATAGCAAAATCTCCAAAAAAAAGAAAGAGACTTCAATACCTTAATAGGTGATTATCTTTAAGAAGCACAAATAACGAACCTTCCTTACTCTATACTCTGTATACTTTACAAATATTCTTTTTGTTTTTGCTTTTATAATACATTTTACTTTTTATATTTGTTTTATTTTTATAATACATTTTAAAAATTATACTTATTTTTATGATTATATTTTAAAGCATATCATTGATTGATCACTTGTTAGAGGGCATGTGTACTAACCAGCCAGAGAAAGAAAGTGACAAAAGAAAGCAACCTCCATGGGAAATGGTCATGCTGCAATCCTTTCCCCTCATTTCTCTCTCTTTTCATGATTTTGGGTGCATGAGCACACACCCAAATGCAGAGTCTGTTTCTCAGACCAACAGGTTAAGGACTTAAACTATACGGTCAACCATGTGGGATCTGGTTGCCCTAGTCGCCAGGCCATAGAGCCGGCCCAAAACATTTCCTTCCCAAAAAAGTAAAATAAAAAATAAAAAATTTAACTTTTTCTTGTCAAATACTCACATTTTCAGGTATACTGGGAAGTTCTCTGGTATCTGGCACAGTAAAATAAGAATGCTGGAAAAGAAAAGCAAATGCTATTGATTTTTTGCAAAAATGTACAACTAGCACATTATTTAGAATTCAGGTAAATGATCAAATGACATCTGTACTCAGATGAACAGAGTCTCACTCATAGGAAATAGTCATGGAATACTTCTTTCTTTGGATAATATTGGGTTAAACCAGATGCATTAAATCATTAGTTTGGTAGATGGAATTCTCTTCTATGAAAGATGACCTTCTTTGGGAGATAGAAATAAAGAGCTCAAAAGGGTTAAAGGCTCGAGACCAGCAGATGGTGTAATGGACTCCCATGCAGTCGACTGCAGACTTGGTGGCTTAAAACTCACACCGAGTGCATGTGCATGCGTGCCCAAGATCCCAAGAGGAGAATGGAGGAGAAGAAATTGCAGTGTGGCCACCTCCCCCCACTCCTGGGGGTGATTTCTCACTTTCTGTCTGTCTCTCCGGTGAGCACACACATCCTATAGCAAAAATCTCTCTCTAAAAAACGAAAGGGGAAGTTTAAAGGCTCAATTTCCATACAATGCTTGCAGATTTCTGATCAAATGAAAGAGGCAGGTTTCATAACTGATTGCTCAATGAAGCAAGTGGACTCTAGGGATTAAAAATCACTAGATTCACTCAGGGATGGTCTTTACCAATCAAACCTGCCACTTCAGTTTAGCATCTGAGGTGACATTCATGTACAAACTGGCCAAAATCTGCCCCAAAGGCCCAAGTGATGTTAAGGACAGCTGTGGCTGCAGGACCACTGCCTCGATGCCACCACAGACAGCTAACAGCTGGGGAAACTATCCAGAAGCATGCTCTAGGAATAAGCTTCCTGACTTCTAGTGGGATCTCCAGTAAAGGGAGCTAGAGACTCAGTGGAGTTGAAAAATCAACCTCTTCAAAGAACTTTCAAGGAGGCCTCCCCATGTAACAAGCATGTGTCCCTGAATTAAATGACAACAGGCTGAACTGATGACACCTCCTCTGCTGCTATTAAAGACCCAAAGGACAATGGCTGGCAGGAATGGAAAGAGTCTGGTGCTGGCCAATTAAAGACGGGATTGTGCAAAGGCCAGGAAAGGTCACATGCAGAGAAGGTCAGCTTAGCCATGGCCTAAGTTCAAACCTGGACCCCCAAGTGACATTTCAGGAAGTTGTCCCTCCCAGCCTTATTCTTAGATAATTGCAAAGAAGTAGGTCTCATGGAAAATGAGTTCTTTAGGCTTTCTAAAATGAAAGGCACTGAGTACAACTGTAATAATGCCAATAACAAAAATAACAGTACAAGCTTGTCTAATATTCAACAGATTTACTGTAAAGGTAGCTATTATCTTCATATTACAAATGGGTCAATTAAAGCTCAGAGAAGTAAAACAGTCAGTCTAAGGTCACACAGCTAGTATGTGGCAGAACTAGCTCTGTATAATGAGAGCTATGCTCTTTCCACTATAACACTGTTTTACCTGTGCTCATCATGTCCAAATTACAGCTAAAGAAACTTGCATTAATGTAAACTAAAAGGAAAAAAAATTACATAAAAGACCAAAAAACTCTTTAGCAATGCGCTATTCTAAAATCTGTGTTTCTATGCCAACTACGAAAGAGATGGGGCAGCAAACAAATAATTTAACAATTAACATTAAAATAAGAAAGATAAAATGCAAGGTTCAAATTTGATTCCTGAGACACCAACTTCTATGCTAAATGGCTATGAGGGAGTTTCAGGAACTGCTCGTTAACAGATATTCACACCGAGTCATGGTCTGGCAGTAAGAAAGAACTCCGGTTACAGAATCAGCAGCCATTTAAGGCTGTGTGAGCTTAGGCAATTTCACTTAATAGCATTGAGCCTCAGTTTCTAAATCTGTAAATGAGAATCATAATATCTACTTCAGACAATTTGTAAATGTTACACATATGAAGCACCTAGTATCAATAAATGGCATTTTAATATAAAACATTATTACTCTCAAATGCTAGTCTCCATCTCTATTTTTCTCAGTCACTTATATTAAACACATAGAAAATTCTCTTAGAGAGTGACTAAAGTCAAAAAGACCAAGACTACCATTTTCTCAACATTTAGGATTTATAATTTAGATGAGATTAGCCCTTCAAAATCACAATATGGAAAGAGGAATTCCTAGTGAACAGGAAAGGAAAAATATCTGCCTTTACAGAGGCAATGGATTGTAAACAGTGAGCCAACGCAGTTCCACAACCCAGCAGTCCCCAGGCTGTCCTTTGAGATTCTGTCTTGCTCCATCGCCCATGAAATGCTGGGGACCAAGGAGGTCAGAAACATTCCTAGGAACCACTGGCATGAAACAGCTGCACCACCCCAACAGTTCCTCCTGCCCCTGGGATGGCTTGTCCTTGAGGCCCGCAGGCTTGCTGCCTGTGCAGTCGTTTGGGGAAGGAGTGGCCCTTCCTCCCCAGCAGCTGGTGACCCAGCTGGGCTACTCCACGGCTACCTGTCGGATGTCATTACAGACTGAAGCAGTGAGATCAAGCTGCTTAGGAAAAGGGACAGAGACAAAGGCAGGGCTGCCGAGCTGTATAGCAATGACTGGGCAGGTCTAAAGTTCATTTGTTCATCTTTTCTAGACCATCTCCTCCCCATTACAGGAATGTTTTTTTACCAAGGTTTTGCCTCCCTCTCTCTTTTCCTCCCTTACACCTTCTCTTTCAACACACATGGTGTAGTAGAAAGGATGTGGTTTTGAAGCTAGCCCTCAGTTTGAAAATCCAAATCTTACTCTTTATTAGCTACTTGACTTTGGATGGGCAAGTACTTATCCTTTCTACACCTCATCTATGAAATGGAAATGTTAATATCTGTTTTGTAGTTTTAGTGATATACTTCTAGTATAAATCAGGAACAATAAATTAGCAGATCTGCTATTAGTAATTTAGAATGGTGTTGCTTCCAATTTTACCAGCATTCTGAAAAAACCTATAAGCAATATTAATTTTCTTTCAGAGATCAGGCTACTTTCTAACTGAGTACTAACACAGTCTCCACTTTTAATGAACCTAAAAAACAAAATACTTTAAAATTTCAGGTTCATGACATAGGGCAAACAGCCCTTGGATGATAATCAATACCTAGTTAAAGGATGATCACCTGAGAAATCTTGTGTTAATTTGTTTCTGTTATTTTTTTTTCCCCAATTGACAAAAGGCACATGTACTCTTCAGGCAGAGGGAGAGAATGCGCACACGTTCCAATGAGACATGGTCATGCCACAATCTCTTTTCCTCTATTTCTCCATCCTATCAGGACTTGGAGCATGCATATACACATACGTAAAGTGCTTTTCAAGTCTCTGGGCTGGGGTTTGAAAATCGGTCTGTCATGTGGGATTTGTCTCTCAGTGCACAGCACTTAACTCCTGTGCCTGGGTCCAGCCCAATCTGAGACTTCTGCTGAAGGTACCGTCAGGGTTTGACCTAGGAAATAAGAAAATTCCAATAACTGAAATATGGAAAGATCTCTTCCACTTCTTCTGATGTCTTATCTGATGGATGAGGAAATTGAGGCCCAGAAATTTAAAGTAAGATCATCCAGGTCCTTGACAAAATGATGAGGAGAACTGAAATCTCTTAATTGATAGTTCAGAGGATTTTCCACCCTGACACAATGTAGAACATGTCATATGCATTTAAAAGCATTCAAAGATACAAGTGCTAGTACAGGCCAGGAACTGCACTGAGCACTCTCAGAGAGAGTAGGAAACAGATCACTCCAATATGGTATGACCAAGTACTGCAAAGTGTACAAGATGCTTGGAATAAGGGAGAAGACTTAGCTAAGCTTGCAAGGTGGCAAGGAAGGATTTCTCTGGGAATAAAAGCAAAGCTGAGCACCCAAGAATGGAAACGGTTATGCCAGCCAATAGGAGAGAAGCAATGCTAAAGGCTGAGGGCGCCAGATGGGAATCAGCAACAGGGGATGCTCAGCAGTGCTGGGAGGCAAAGGGGGACAGCAGATAAAGAGGCAAGCAGGGAACAGTCATCCTATTCCAGCAAGACAGGACCTGACATAAGTGATCCAGGAGATGCTGGTGATGGGATGACGGCCAGAGAGAAGCCTGCAGACATTTAGAACTTGTCCATTCCTCATGAAATCTCAGAAAAAGGAAGAAACTCAGCTCTCTGTCTTCCTTGAGCCCAGAGGTCCGAGTACTGGGGGGAGAGGGGAAAGAGGGAGGAGTAGTAGTAGAGGAGGTACAGATGGCAAAAGATGACCCTGTTCTGCTAACTCTCTCTTACTGTAAATAATGAGATGGTTTTGCAGTGATAGTTAATATTCTGCCCCACTTACCATGCTGAGATGAACAGACACTCCTGGGTCAGGGATGGGAAGTTTGTGCAGAGTTTCAAGAAGCTCATTCCACTGGTTTTCCTGAAAGAAATACACAGCCTAAGTTAAGAAAGCAAGTTTGAACTCTTAGGAAGACACCTGCAGGGAGATCAGGCCCACAGCAGGCTGGGAACTCATGACTGAAGGTTCTGGGAAGACACTGGGTCCTGGGACAGAAATAGGTCTGATATTCAAGTGGAGTTGGACCAAAGACAATGCGTCTGGCTCACACTTAAGAGCCAAGTAGATCCTCCTACACCAAATTTGACATTTTCTACTTAGTGAGACACCTACCATGACCGCCTTTTATGGATCATATACCATAAGCTCTCAGCAGATCTAGCCCCTTAACTCACTAGCAACAACTTTTAGATGCAAACAACCCTAGTTTACAGGGCGGGGGTGGTTAGGAGAAATAACGATGACACTATAGATCTCGTCTTCATCATCATTATCTTCAATTAATTTTATTGAGTGTTTGCCGGGTACACACGGCATCCTCCAATTATGTAAAGCTAGAAATGAAGTAAGTACAACAGCATGCAATATAAGATAGTGGCTATGCATTTTAATTGGTGAAATTGGGCAACACAGTGAGATACAAAGCAGGACAAATTATTTGATTGAAAACAGATTCACATTTAAAATGCTCAAAAGAACACTGCTCACAGAATTATCTAAAATTCATTTCTCTCACCCTGTGGAATCCTGTGTGTTAAAATAATAGTAATAAGTTTACATTTGTATCCATTTGCTATTTATTCAAACCCTCTGAACTACTCCACTTTACAGATGTGAAAACAGCCTCTGAAAGGTCTTTCAAATTAGCTACTTAGTAGACTCCACAGCCAAGGGATCGGGTTGGGGATGAGAAGAGGTGTCAAAGTGCAGATTTTCTCCACTCAAGTCCAAAGCCTTTGCCAATTCACCAAGCTGTTTTACGTAGTGATTTTTAAAAATTATTTGTTTAATTTTATTTGTTTGTTTTTCAACTTGACCAGACACAGACAGAGAGAGAGAGGAAGCAAGCTGCCATGTCCAGGGTTCAAACCACAGTCGACCATATGAATCCAGCACCTTAACCACCATGCCACCTGCTGGCCCCTGTTTTAGGTAGTGAATTTAAGGCAAGGAAAAAAGGATGAGCCCAGACTACAAACTGTTTCAATCTGAACTCCAATAAATCAAACATGTTTTTCAGAGAAGTATGAGTTTATGGGTATATATGCACATGTATATAGTTGTGCTCTGAAAAAATCTCAAATTTATAGGACAGTTGTAGAAACAATTCAAAAAACCTTTTATTTCCTGAGCTGCTTGAGAATGAGTGCTGACATTATGCCCAATCATTCATAGATATAAATTAAGACATTCTCCTACATAACCAGAACTAATTATCACAATCAGGAAATCAACCTTGATGTGCCTTCTAATCCTCAGATCCCATCAAATTTTGCCAACTGTGCCAATAACTCCCTGGACAGCAAACAATCCATTTTAGACTCACATGATGCCTTTAGTAGTTATGACTCTAGTTTTCTTTCATCTGGGACACTCCTCAATCTTTCCTAGGTTTGTACAGCCTTCACAGAGAGACCACCCATTTTGTGGAATGATTCCCAATTGTCTCATGTTTTCTTGTTATTCAGATTTCAATTTGCCCCTTGATGATGATGATGTCTC